TTTAGGTATGTGTACGTCTGCAGTGACCCCAAATATGTGCATGTGTGCTAATTTTGGTTTCCTATTATACATCACCTCATATGGTGTCTTATTCACAATACTGGACCAGGTTCTATTTTGAGTGTAATTTGAATAATGTAAGGCTTCTGACCAAAATTGTTTGCCTAAACCAGCATCCTCTAATGTGCACCTAATCATGGTTTGTAATGTGGAATTCTTTCTCTCTACAATCCCGTTCTGGAACGCAGAAAATGGACTAGACGTGTAATGTAGCATTCCTCTATCCTTTAACCATTGGGAGAATTCTTTAGACATGAATTCACATCCCCTATCTGTCATAATTTGTTTTATTCTGATATTATGTTGTGTTTCTATGCGTTTGTAAAATTCCTTAAATTTTTGAAAGGTTTCATCCTTGTGTTTTAATGTGTAAACAAAACCATAGCGACTGTAATCGTCTACTATTGTTAGGAAGTAACGTTTTCTATAAGTGATTGATGGAGTTAATGGGCCAACTAAGTCCATGTGTACTAAGTCAAAAATTTTGTTAGTTGATCTGGTGGATTTTTTTGGCCTGGGACTAGTTTTTAGTTTAGTAGATTTACATACTGAGCATTCCAAATAATTTTCACAATTTTTTATTTTGACACCTTCTGCGTGTTCAGTCATTTTTTGTACTACAGGAAAACTTGCATGTCCTAACTTCCTATGTAAGATGTGAGCACACTCGTCATGAATTGGTTTACCTATTTTTGGTTTCTTCTCATTGTGTGTATCTGTGTGATCATGAGATATTTTACATTCATCATTGTCACTGTTACTAATATTTTCATCATCTGCCTCAATACAATCTTCCATATTTGAATCAATGTTATGTAACCATCTTTCTTTTGTTATCAGATAGGGTAGGCCTCCTTTAATCATCACAGTGCCTACATTTGTTTTATTCTTCTCTAAAGTTGCTTTTTCCTTTGAGAAAACTATATTGATGTCAGAATCTCTGCTTAGTTTTATGGCACTTAGTATGTTATGAGGTATTTCTGGTATTAACAATACCCCCTCTATTTTTCCTAGACCAGGCAAGGTCACATTCCCTCTGCCTAATACTTGAACTTTTTCTTGATTAGCTACCTTTATTACAAACTTATCTTCTGTAAATGAAGACAATATATTTTTGTTATTAGTGGTGTGATTAGTTGCCCCAGAGTCAATAAGCCAATTATTGTTCTCATTTTGTTGCGTTTTAGTGCTGTCTTGTTTATTTAGTCCATTCAGTGAACCAGATTTTCTCTCTTTTGAATTTTCTCTGCCCCCTCTACTTTCTCTGTAATTTGGTGGGCTTCTATATTTATGTCTATCTGTGGAAGACTGTCTATAATTGTATTTATTCCTATATTCTGACCTATGTCTTTCCTTTGAAATTTTGGGACAATCTCTTCTATTGTGTTCCCTGGACCCACAATTGTGGCATTTAAAAGTTTCATTATATTTTTCTTGGAAAGCTACCTTCCTAAAAGATTTGTGTTCTGTGTGATTGCTATAACGATTTTTTCTTGAATTGTCTTCTGCTATCAATTTGTTAGACAGACTTTCTATTGATAAATATCCTAGATTGATGGTGTCTAAGTGTGACATAAAACTATCCCATGATGAATCAAGTGAGTTGATAATAACACTTTTCATTGTTTGATCTGAAATCACTTCCCCCCTCAAATGCAGCTCAGCTCTTATTTTGTTTAAAGATATTAAATGCTCACTTATGGAAACCCCTGGTTTTACTCTGGAAGAAAAGAAGTCCTTAGACATTCTTGTGGTGGTAGCTACACTATCGCTGTGAAACAAATTAAACATGCATTGAATTATTTCTGAAACAGTTAGATTTGGTTTGATGCTATGATACATTGCAGGAGACACGCTAGATATTATTAAGAAAAATGCCTTATGGTGTAAACAATCTATTTTTAAAGTCCAAGGTCTTCTTGGGGGACTAGTGATAAAAAATAGTAAATTTTCTTTCATAAAGACAACCTGGAGCTGTTGATACCATTCTTGCAAATTAATGCCATCAACCCTAAGTTTTGGGAAGTCACTGGGTAAGTTTCCCACATTATTTTGTCCATTACTTACAACCTGAGGTAGTCCGTGGTCTCGCAAGTGTAGGAAATTGCAAAACGGCATGGGGATGCTCGCAACGAGTCTGCGCGGTTCTCTGGCCAGTTCAAGTCTTTCCGGACCGTCTACGTAGTTTCGCACATGCGCGTTGTTCATTTCTTCTTTGGCGTCGTCGTGGAAGGTTCTCTCCATTGTAGCTCGCTCGCTCCGCTCCTCTTCAGACGAGTCGGTCTCTGGCTCGGTCTTAGGAGTTCTGATGGCGGCGACTGTTCTTCTCTTTCTTTTGGGTGCGTTGGCACTTGCTTCGGTCTGCGGTGTAGGGCGGAATCGACATGGCTCTCTGGGCTCGGGCGTCGTCGCTCTCGAAGTCAGGATGGGAGTGTGCAGGTCTTGAAGTATCGGCTTGTTCGCTCGCTTCTTCGTTGGCGCTTTGGAAATTTTTAATTTTGGCCCAAATGCAGCAAAAAGTGTCTTCATTGCTGACTTTACTTGGGATTTCGTTAAGTCGTCTTCACTTTCTGATTCTGGCTCTTCCGAATAGTTTGAATCCTCCTTTTCACTTTCGTTGTCTGATAACGTTTTTCGCGCCAGAAATTTTGAACTGAGCATTTTGATTGGCTCTGCTTCGCTCACTTTGGAGGCTTGTTGAAACCAAGATGGCTGCCATTCAAAATTTCGCGCGGGATCACATTTTTTCTTTTTCATAACGACTTTCTCTGTAGTCATATCACTCACAGTTTTTTGGTCTTTGGGTTTCTCTTTAGCGATGTTTTTCTCTCTCGCTGCTCCGTTGTTCTTCAGCATTTCTTGGAGGTTCGCGATGAGGCTTTCATCATTCTTCTGGCTTTTTAATAACTTCAATATCTCTGACCTGAGTTCGTTATTTTCTATTTCGATTTCCTCCTGGCCATCATTTTCATTTATTAATTCTTCTTCTTCAGTGGTGTATTCTCCGGATTCTCTCGAAATCGCGTTTGTGGATTCGTTGATTATTTCTTGTTCAGTTTCTATTTCTTTGCTGTAGGCCCTGGTGTTGGGCCTATCTTTCTTAGACATTTTTAGGTATTTATTGAGTCAATTAACCATCCTCTGCTACCAGCTTGTTGCAATATTTTCAGGATCAGACTCAATAATAATAATAAGAGTTAGAGGTTTAAATATATTTCTCTTTAATTATAATAGGCATTCTATATTCACTGAATAATCACAGATAGAAGCAAAGAAAATGGTGAAGGTGGCTCCTTATATATACAAAGGGTGGAGCCAAGAGTGGGAATGGTGAGTTATGAATACATTAAGAGTCAAAGAATAAGTTAACCCCTGATATCCCATATATACATTATTTACACATTAGGGAATAAGGCATTTACATCTGACATAGAGTATCTGTTGCTTGTTAAACCAATGACCAGAACAAATAGACACAGAACTAGTCAGATTTCCAAAGCTGCTTCTTTTCAGGAACAGAGATTAACATGTTTCCTTCCAAACAAAGCTAAATAGGGAAAATTATCTCATCACTAAACACAGGATTAAACATCACCAAGCACAGAATTAAACTTCACCAAAAACCAGTTTTAGACCAAAAGTCAGAAAGGGTATGTAAACTCACATTTGAATGTCAATCTTTCTAGCTAGTCAATAAGTCTTACTGAATGTCACTCATCTTGGTTCCTTGTCATTAAAAGCTTCTGCTTCATTATTCAATTATTTCTTCAAAGTGCTGATCATTGCATCCTGGCTGGAAGAACTCCAACAGGGGAGTATTTCCTCCCCACAGTGGTGTAAAAAGCTTAAAACAACCCTTCCCCTTTAAGAAAGTCAAGAAAAAAAAAAAAAAACCTCTGAGAATCTCCGGAATAGGAAGCGACAATAAGTCTAGGCGTACTGCCAAGAATGTAATAAGGGTTAATGGAGAGGCAGTTTCTGTAAGCAGGGTTAATAAAGATTAGGCTAGAAAACAACACCGAATGTTGTGATTCCTTACAGGATTAACCCTGTAAAGTGGCAAAAAGCAAAAGGAGATTTCATTTAACAATTGGTTCACCGAACTGCTTAACTACTTAACTACTTAACAACTGGTTCTACTGAACTGGTGAGAACCGGTAGAATCGCACCACTGCTTGGAGCTGATCTGGAAAGAAAAAAAAACCGCAGCCTAATTAGGCGGGACAGGCCCCACCCAGATCCCTCCAAACGGGTCTTCCTTCGGTAGCCTCCCCGCTGAACTACGCGACCCAACAGTGATCGCCCACCCAAACAGAGCCCACTCTTCCAAGCGCCCGCTCTTTCTTGCAGTGAATGAGCTGGGGGCACGAAAAGCACTTCCCACTTCTCTACCTGCATACTGTTACCGGCTCTGCACCCCCCGAAGACCAACAAGACACTCCCTGGGCCACTGGCGCTACCTGGGTGCAGAGCCGGTAACAGAATGCAGGTAGAAGAGAAGCAGGAAAGCTTTTCAGCAGGGAGGCTACCGAAGGGAGACCCGTTTGGAGGGATCTGGGTGGGGCGTGTCTCACCTAATTCGGCTGCTTTTTTTCCCTTTCCAAACCAGTTCCAAGCAAGCGATGCAGGTGGCAGCGCAACAGCTGCAGCCCGTCCCCTTACCATGGTAAGAAAGGGGCATTCAGCAAAATTGGACCCCGACCCCGATGTTACCAGAGGCCTTCCCGGGATGGCTAGTAAGCATCCAGCTAGCCAGCCAGGCCTGCTGCGCCCCACCCTTGCAGCAACCTACCTTGATCCTGAGCCCTCCCCAGGCCTCCCCACCAGCAGCCCTCCTCGATCCTGGGCAGCACAGCACTGCATCAGCAGCATCAGCCAGCCAGGCATGGCATGCCACCCCCCCAGGCCCTCCCCCCCACGGCAGCCCACCTGCAACTTACCAAAAGTTAGGAAGGCGACGGCAGTCAAGTGGGCAAGGAGCAAAGCAGCTGGGCCTGGGCCGGGTGGTTCGGGCAAGCAGCAACCAATAACAAGCAAGGAGAGCAATAAGAAAGCATCCAACAGTTCAGCCTCGCACATGTGGTAAGGGGAGCTGCCTAGTGGGCATGCGCGCACCGGGAAACAAACTTTCAGTGCGCACATGCGCACTGGCCAGCTAGTCTGATAATCTGAGCTTCGGGTTGTAAACCCGGAAGAGGAATGGCCGACGCCATGCAAGCCCACCTCCAGCACTTCTCTGCCACCCCCCTTGCCTCTTAGTGCCCCCTAAATCATCCCACTGCCCCCCAGGGGGGTGGTACCGCCCACTTTAGGAATCACTGCTATAGCCCATTAATTCAGTGGAATGGAAATTAATTATGTCAGCTCCATAGCCGGTATAGATTTTCTATTGAATTATCAGAAAACCTGGAGATAAGGTTAGATCCTGCAGATTGAACCTTGATAGGGTTCAGCATGACTCAATTTCACCCTCTTGACGGGGAGATCAGGATGTCGGAGTACTGAAAGCTTCAAAAAAATATCCTTTTCTATAAATTTAACCATTTTCCAACCCAGTAAGGGAGATTTACTTTATGCTACTGCTCCCAGTTTGCTATGGTTGCTAGGAATCATAACACTGCACTCTAAATTAAGAAGAATGGTGGTGGAGTGGGACCTTTAAAGAAGGAAGCAAAAGTATTAATGCTCTACTAGGCTCAAAATTAGCCATTCATATACACAACTTTATAAATACTTTTGGCAAAATTAGACCACAACAGTTAGCACACAAATTACTAGTTCTTTTCTAACCCTCACTCTGACCACTTCCTACAACCCATTACATATTTTATAAGAAATAAAATAAATACCTTCCATGATTCTCTGTTGTCTGCAGTCACTTTTAATACTATGTTGAACAAAGAAAAGGAGGTCACGTATTTTCACATTCAAAATTAATTTAGCTGACCAAACAGGATGTTGCAGCACTTGGGAAATAACATAATTATATTTCAGGAAAGTACCAAATCAAAGGGGATTGTCACGTACCTGATTGATTTTCTTGGGATAATAGCAATCCATGTTCATTATACATATTTTTAGTTGCACAGATTTTTTCTTAATAGGACTCATTAATATTTAATTATTTGGAAAATTACTCTGAAAATAGTATTCCATTGGAAAGTTTGTCTGGAAGTCAGACTTATGTATTTAAACCTATTATTATGTAATGATTGTTTTAAGGATTTCTCCAGACTTCAAACTGAATTTGATCTTCCAATACACAGTAGCAGAAATTTCAATTTAACTATGTTTTAATGTATGAGCCCTATGCTTTGGCCACTTCAAAGGCACATGAAATGCTCTCCTGTGGAATCTATGACAAAAGTAAAACTAATTTATATCTTTATATTTTGCAGACATCATTCTGGCAAGGCTGCCGCAGAGCATTCAAAAATATGGATCACCTTGCAGTATTTATAGTCTATGTGGAATTTTAATTGTTAGGTTGGTTGGTGACTGGAGTATTGGGGGAACAGAACACAGATCAAATTTGAACCATGTATACTGTAACTGCACCATAGCACATTAAAACAGCTGCATAAAAACCTTCATTAATAGTATGAAAACATACCTCAGCTCATAAAAGCAAAATTCAAGTATCTGTACAACATATTTACTAAGAACAACTACCCCCATTCCTTTCATCAAAATGTATAATTTATTCTGTTCTGAACCATATTGTCTCTGGTATGACATGTATGGAATATCCTGAACTTGGGTAATCATTCCAAGGTGGGGACTTAGATACAAACTAAAGAACTGAAAGAGACCGTGAGGGCCACCACAAGAACATTTGCATACATAAGAAATAGGTCAGAACTTGCCAGATTACTCCAGCCATTAGGCATGACTATAAAAGGTAAAGGAGTCCCTGCAGGTTTTACTCAGCTAGTCATAGCCAGCTTTCGGGGGGGGGATCTATGACAAATCACCGTTAACAACTTGCCACGGCCGACTCACCACGGCCAACTCGCCACGGCCAACTCACGATGGGATAAAAGTTACACTAATATCAAAGGAATTGCAGAATAGAATCATTAAAAAAAGGATGCGAAAGGATGGACAGAATGAAATGTGAATGACAAAAATTAAATAATTTTTTATTTATTTTAAGTAATTAAATTGAATTGTTTAATTGTCCCATGCAAGTTGACCATGGCGAGTTGTCCTGCAGCGAGTTGGCCGTGGCAAATTGGTTGTGGCGAATTGTCCCATTCCACTTCAGATGATAGTGCCAGTTCAAAAGCAGTATCAAATCTGTTTTGTCACATCGGATAGTTCAGATTTTTTGCTCCTGTCTCAGGTACAGTTAATTGAAAGTGTGTAAAGCTGGGATTATTATTATATTTTAAGTGCTATGGCTCTGTTTCCTAATGGAAGGATATTTTTGTTTCACTCCCCAAACTCTTTAATTTTAGATACTTTTAAGAGAAAGACTAACTTCAGATTTTGGGTTCAATAATCCAGGTCAGGGGTGTCAAACTTGATTTCATTGAGGGCCTCATCAGGGTTGTGTTTGCAGGCATGGTCATGGTGGGCATGGCCGTGGCGGCCATGGTCGTGGCGGGCATTTGACATAGGCTCAAGACACATTTTTTCCCCTTTTTTCTTTCCACAGTTCTTTACTATAACCATTTTCCTATCCTAGATATTACTGGCAACCATTTATTACTTATTTTTCATACACCACTAAACTTTTTATTTCTAAATTTATACCCCATTGTTTAATTGTAAATTGCTTTTCCAGGCAGAAAAAGCTATTTATACTATTGTATTTTTGTTATTCAACTAATAATAAAAATACAATAGCTTAAATAACATGATAATACAAGATCTAACAGCAGAGGTAAATTTCCAGGATAGTAAATAAGAAATGTTTGTTAATTATAGAATGTTAATTGTAGATTAAATGGACCTACAGTATGTAAAATCTGGCCTTAAACTGTAGTATTAACATAGGATGTGGATTGTTTTCTATCCAAATCAGGCATTTACTTGAGCCCACATGATTGTAATCCAGTCCAATCCAGTCCTCTTGCAGCACTCTGCTGGCCAAAAATGAGCCACGTGGAGGTCGCACAGGGCCTCCATAAGGCCTGTTTTCGGCCTTCCCGGCTTCTAGCAGCACTCTGCAGCCTGTTTTGGCCAGCAGCGGTATTGCGGGCCGATCCTTTGATATTTCCAGTCCAGTCCCGTGAGCCAGATTTAAGCACCCTGGGGGCTGGACTCGGCCCGCAGGCCCTGAGTCTGACACCCCTGACCCAGGGCAAAAGGAAAAAAAAATCTGCACAAAGCAGGAATAAAATTGACAAAAATATTATATCAGTTCTAGAGGAGTCAAAATGCCAAGTTCTTGGCTTCAGTCAGCTTGTTTCCCTCCTTTTGCTTTTGTATGAAAAGTATGAGAGAACTTGTGTTTTCGCATCTTGAGGTGAACCAATCATTTTCACTCTTCCTCAGCATTTCTTAGAATTCTTCAATTGTATTGAATATTTCCTTCCACTCCTTGAGGCCCACTGCAGTGTCCATGCAATCTGGCAGACTGCCGAGTGCCCAAATTTTGTTCAACTGGAAGACTGCAACATCTGTAACTTCAAAAGTGGGCTGTAAGGAGCTTTTGGGGAGATCCACTGTAACTTTGGTGAAGGACTATCTGTATAGGATTTCACTCTTGCAACCCCTAGCTTGAGCGAGGCCAGTTCCATAACAGCTTCTGCCCAAGTAGATATTGAAGTAAGATGGTTGTTTCAAGTAAGGGCTATGTCCATTAAGAAGTTTGTTTTACCAGGAAACTACATAGACAGGCCTGGTCTAGCTTTTCTTCCTTTTCCTGGAAAGCTTGCATATAGGACTGGCAGCAAAATGACTGTAGTTTTTTTGTTTTGAATGGGATGTTCTGATGAAATTTCTGGTATGCTTTGCACTGTTCTATTCTAGTAGTGTTATGCTGGTAGCTTTAATGCAAGACATTTAAAGATGGCAATTGGTGGATAATTCTGGCTTGTTTCCTCTACTAAAAATTACCAGCTGGCAATGAACACAAGTCATTCCTCAGCATCGGAAGGGCTGTTAACCTTTTGAGAAAGCATTAACAAAATCTTGTAAAACTAAAAGTATTTCTCCCCTTCTGAAAAACTAAGAAGGGTTCCTTCTGAAATGTTTCCCATACCCTCCCTCTTTTGTGGACTGTGATATCTTTTATGTTGGTTGTCCAGTAAGGAGATCTCCTTCTTTGCTGAAATAATATTGTTGGTTGAAATAATTATAGGGAAAAAGAACTGCACTTTATTATATAAAAAGACTTATTTTTATTTAAACCCCTTTCAATGAATTATCAAGCAATTAAACACAAAGAAGTTGGAGGATGACAGTAAACAAAAAAAAAATGATTTTAATGTATATCGTCAAAGACTTATTCATCATCTTAATGACTGTAAATTTTGAATTACAGACAAAATGTTTTAAATAAAAAATGGTTGCAATGACCCAGAAATTCTGTACAAAGGTTTGTAGTATATCTGAAGATAGCTCCTTCTAACTATCTCCTTGAAAATTCATTTGATTTGGTGATGAGTGGGCTTTTATGTGCACTCAGAAAATCAGAGTATCATATCAAAGAAAGAGATATATTTTTCTTGAACTGGTTTGGATAATCAACAATCTATCAAAACAAATTTTAAAAAGCAGGGAAACACAGCTGCCTAAGATCCAGGAGCTTTCTTTTTAATTCTAGATAAATAAGCATGCAATGGTATCAGAAGTAGTGTACAGGGTACTTATAGAAGAAATCTAATTCTGCAAAGTTCTTGTCACAGTTGTTAAGTGAATCACTGCAGTTGTTACGTTAGTAATACGGTTGTGAATCTGGCTTCCTCATTGATTTTGCTGGTCAGAAGGTTGCATAAGGGAATCACATGACCCCAGGACACCGCAACCGTCATTAATATGAATCAGTTGCCAAGTGTCTGAATTTTGATCACTGACCATGGGGATGTTGCATATCATGTCAGTCATAAGTGTGCAAAATGGTCATAAGTACCACTGTAACTTCGAAGTCACTAAACGAACTGTTGTAAATCAAGGACTACCTGTATTTAATCTACCAGTTTAATGTTCCATGTCATGCCTCTTTTACTCTTTTGTTGTAATATGCCTCAGCCATAACTATAAAAAGAATAAATTGAGAAAAATGAAGTAACCTCTAGGGAGACATAAAACATTTTAGGATTATAGTACTCAGAGTATTATTTTAATGTAATGTAATTGAACACTACAAAACCAACATTATTAAAGATTAATAACTGTCTTTTAAGCCAGTTAACTATTCTGGAAATAATAGTTTATAAAATGAGGGTCAGATGCCCCGACTAAAAACTATGCCTATCCAGGTGACCCACACTTAAACCTGTCTTCCTAATTGAAAGCCATGTTTCAGTTATTTCTCTCCCATTGCCTTGTATCCCTGTCCTGTGGCTATAATCATTAACTTCTCTCATGCTTTCTTTTTGTGATTTGAGAAAGTACTGTCTCCATGATTTCCATCCAACATTTGAAGAAAGCAAACAAAAGCTTAAATGTGATTCCAAAACTGTGGCACAATTTTACTTGTGGAATGTATATTACCTCCATTTACCCTTCAGCTATACGTCTTTATCTTTAATAGAAGAAAAGATATAAAGAAATTTAAATCCCATTTTCTTTCCTCTTGGGGAAGATAGTTGCGGTAATCTCGTGCCCAGCAGCAATTGTTATTTGATTGGCTGCCAATAGAATAAAAAATTCCCGTATTTTTTTTTTTAATTTGATTTATATGCTTTAATCTGTGCTTTTAAGTTTCTGTGAGACTTAATTTTTCTCCTAAGACAAGATAAAATGTAACAATTTGCAGGTGGAGAACATTTAAATGTGATATACTGTATAGGAAAATATTCTTTTACCTACCAGGCTGTCAAAGTTCTACAGAATTGTTAATATTTCAAAAAGCTGTGCCAGGAAATGTGTATATTAGTAAAGAACAACAGTGCAAGACATTGCATTAAACTGTATTCATATCAGTTTAAACATCTCAATTTTTCCTGTGATTTGTTTTAAAAAATATAAGTTGTCCTTTAAGCCTCAGAATTTTAGTTCAGTATAGTTGTCATGTAGTATTTATTGCTAATTCAGTTCTAACATGCAGTGTACACAGCTGGCAGAGTTAAGTTAAAGAAAAACTACAGGAATTCTATAATATGTTCTAATGAAGTTAGAGTACGCAAAGTCACAGTCATGGTATTATTAGAATGACTTTTATTAATGCACTACTTCAAGAATAGTTTAAATAACAATTCTTGACAGAAGTCTTTCATTAATACCTTAATGGTAAATGATATAAATTTTAAGATGCAATTTAAGAGAGCTATTGTTAAATTAAGAAAATGCTGAAAGTCATATCTCATATTACACAGTTTAAAGAGAGTTCAAATTTCTTCATAGTAAAGAAATTATTTCCTAAGAGGAAGAAATATTTAAGATTTCCTTTCATGAGCTCTATAAAACTGTTAGAAAATGAGTGTCATGTGCAAATGTTCTGAAAGCAAACAGCTATATAAAACATTTCTAAAAATGTATCAAACATAAAAGAAAAATGGTTTACAAATATTTGTATCATGAATTCTAATCATCATCAGAATCTGAATCATATTTCTTTCCTCTGATTGTTTTCTTATCCAGTTTTGTGAAAGAGGTTCCAAACTTCTTTTGGCTTTGGAAAGGCGGCTCCATTAAGTTGCCACTAAAAAGGAAGAAATTAGTAATGATGTAAATATCCTTAAGGTAATAGCTGTCTGAAAAAGCAGATTAGACATAACTGGCAAAACACAAATTAGAAGTACAATTGTCTGAAGCCAACTCTCCCTGCCTCCTACTCACATCATTACATAAGAAAGGATACATTATTTTGCTTCATGAATCTCTTAGATATTATAGCAAACATTTTTAACAATTAACAGGTGTGATAAAAACATAAGCAATGCCCTGCTGGATCGGATCCCTGGCCCATCTAGTTCACAATCAATTGGTCCATATCATTAATTGGCCAAACATCTTATTTTTCTTATAAAATGGCACCCTAGTTATTAAAACTAGTTAATTTTTGTTTGAGGACCTTTATTGCTTTTATCTTTTAGTAGATTAGGGAAGAATGTTGAAAATTTGTAGTAGTATTTAGAATGTTTGACAACTGAGACGGATTTGAAAATCAAAGTGGATGAGGAAAAGTTGAAGGTGGTTGGATTGATGGTTGAAAAGTGGAGACAGCAGGCAAAAGAACAGGAGACTGAACAGAAAAAAATAAACCTGAATGGGAAGTACAGTGGAACTGAAAAAGGAACTTGATTGGTAGCTAACCCAGTGGCATTCAAACTCAAGATTGTTCCAAGAAAATGAACGAGAATAAGAAAGATAGCGGAAAATGTGAGTGCCTGGAAATTTATTTCAGGTTTCCATGTTTATGAGTCTGTGGTAAAAATTGATGGCCTTGGATACAGGCTGCTTGTGATAAATGCTAGTTTTCTTTTAAATAAAATCTCATTCACACATCTTATGTTGATGGATAAATGGGCATGTATTACCGAAACCCTATTGGGCAGTGATGAAGCAATAGTTTTGTGAGAAATTTGCCCTCCTATATTTCAGGTTCATCAACAGCTGAAATGTTGTGGCTGGGATGATGATGGTAATGACTGTGCATGGAATGTTTGCTGTGACTAGATGTGTTGCTCTGCTGGTACTTGGACTAGAAAAGGATTATTTGAATGGGTCAGACCTATCTATGGAGCAGAAACAGTATTGATGGCTCTGGTGGTTTTGCATTGGGCTCTTGAAGGTGGGAGGGGTCCCTCTTCATCTTAATGAAACTTACACAGCTTTTTATACCATTGCCCATGGTAGCCTACTGAACTGCCTACAAGGACTGGGGGCTGGAGGAAGCATTTTATGGTGGTTCCACTCCTTTAGTAGGAAGGGATGGTCAAACATTTGACTGATTTATCCATGCTACTTTTGAATATCTACAGGAAGCCTGCAGAAGTCATCTGCTGATCAAACGCAAAGTATATGTTGATAATAGCTAAATCTGTACTGCTATCTCAGGTTGAACTGGAGATGCAATGGAAATCCTAGACCAGTGTCTGAAAGCCTCAAGGATTTGGAAAAGGTTGATACTTAATCCAAGAAAGGTGGAGTTACTTTTTGTGCAGAACGATTCCGATTTGAGACAGTCCCAATATTACTTCTGGATAAGACTATCTTCCTTAAAGGAGTTGGTCTGAAATTCTGGGTTATTTTAGCAGTTGCTAGTGGAATAACAGGTGGGAACATGACCTAGCCTTACCTAAAGGCTAGTGCAAAGGTTGTGACCCTACGTGGACTAGGATGCTTTGTCCAGAAACTGCTAGGCTGCCTTTGGAAACCATTTGAAAGCTACAGCCAGATTCTGAGTGGCTGTTATGAAAATATTACACATATTTTCCAGTTGTTGCATTGGTTACCAATAGACTACCAAGTTCAGTTGGAATAATTGGTTTTGACTTATATATCTTGGCTCTAGGGTATCTTAGGGGCCATCTCCTCTAATGGAATCTATCTAGTACATCTATACATGCAGGGTCTTCTCCTTTGAAGTCTTTAGTGAATGTGGATCTAAATATAGCATATCTTGTATTGGATATAGACATATGAATTAGAGATATACATAAAAATATATAAAAGGTATCAAAGTATTTGTAATACATTAGTAAAAATCGATAAATCAGGGAAGCCTAAAAATGATGATTTAATATAATATCAATTTCACTACTTTGCCAGGAAGATATTTTTTATGTTAAGAGTAGTATATAACAGTATATCAGCTACTATTGTAAGATTCATTTTATTTACCTGTACTTGATGATATCTGCGCAACCTAATCTCCATTCTAAGGTTTCTGTGGTGAATTCATCTGTGTTGCCAAGATCAGTAAATCCAACCACATAATCTTGAGTTTTTCCATCTTTTAATAGTGCTAATGTGGGAATTATCTTGATGTGAAGTCTCTCACAAAGAAATGGTGATTTTTCAGCATTTAACTTGATAAACTTAGTCTCAATATGCTTTTTTGCAAGTATTGTTAAATGTTTGTCGAATATTACGCATCTGAGGAAAAATAAATACATTTAATACATTAAATAGTGAAATATGAAGTCACCTCTTGCTTTCTAACTCAAGTAAAGCTGTGCAAAGCATCTGAAGTGTGCTTTCATGTTTCTGCATATATAGTTGCCTCACCAGCAGGAACAGCTGAAATATTTTCTCCACATACATGCATATAAATGCAAAGATATCTGGAAATCCCTTTGAATAAGCCAAGTGAATATGGTTATATTTCAATATTTTCAAGACGGGCACTTCAGGCAGGAAGGCCCCTTCAAATGCTTTGCACCACCTAAAAACTGCTATTTGAAGTGTGCTTTAATGTTTTGCTATGCCAATGGTACTACTAGTCATAGAATCAAAATTAAAATGGATTTATAAGTAATCTAATCCAACCTCCTTTTCAGTAAAGGACTCATAAACAATCCCTGAAAGTCTGTCATCTTGTCCATTTGAAAGAGTGAAACAAGGTCCATTATTGTTCGAGGCCCAGTATTCGGCTATTTAAGACCTCTTACCTTCAGGAAAATATTCCTTATACAGATATCATTAAATATTAAAACCAGTGTGTGGATTAATTATCAAGCATATACCCACAATTTATTTTTTAATTTCCCTTCATTTTGACTTTGGGAGTTGATACTGTGAAAAATGCAACAATTGAATCTGAAGTTATTTCAGATCATTGCCATCAGGTTTTCCAATAAATCGTTCAGATAATTGTCCTTAGAGTCACTGAATTGTTTCCTATCTTCATCAAACCAATATCAACTTCCTTGAATATGGTTTGGCATAATATGGAGATCCAATGTATTATAATTATTTAACAAACAATGGCTAAACAAATTACCATATTGTGAATGCAATTACCATTATGATCAGACATTTGCAGCTGGTTTTGTAAAGGGCTCGTAAATTTAAAAATATGGCAATTTTTATGCATTAACTAGAAAGGAATTTCAACTTAACAATGATATTTATTTCTGAATAACCACTATAGTGTTAATCATATTTAACTGGAACAATAATAACAGAGTTGCAGTTCAGCAAACCCTAACTGATTTATGTTTTTATTGAGAAATAATTGCTCTTCCTGTGTCTAGGTTATAAGATGAACATTGATTCACTTTAAAAGGTTAAATTGCTAAAAAAAATACACTAACTCAGTCAGTATTAGGAAAATTTAGAAAAATAATGATTTTACTGAGGATTACCTGAGGGTTGAATCTCTATAAAAATGACAGACCACGTTTTTGCTCCTTTTCACTTCTTGAAAAAAATCTCGCTCACTGGGGATTTCTTGGTATTCTCCATGTCCTTTTGAAAGCCATTCCTATTAGTAAGAATACAAAGTTTTACATTTGATGCCATGAAAGAAATCATTTCAAATTCATTCCATAAGATTATAATTCTACCATTATTCTGTGAGGACAAGTTCTACTATGTCTAAGCTTCATCTGATGAATCCAAATCCTAACTTCAAAGTTATATTGGTGGTAATTTTAGCATTTCTGATATGCTTTGAACTTGGTCAATATTATTTCCAAAATAAATCATATATTTAAATAAAAAGTACTTCAACATTTATTATAAATCATTTCCATAACTAAAAGGACTAGAACAGAAAGTCTGCATTCCAAAAGAATAGTGAAGTTTTAATGGTTAATACTCTAATATGAAGTAAATTCCCAGTAAATATGAAGTAAATTCCCAGTATTTTCCTATGCACATATTTATTCCAACCTGTCCACCAATTATGTTTAGGAATAACATAGGGCTGCAACAATTGTGTATTCCTCCAGTAATTTAATTAGTCAAAAATATCGTATTCCAAATTTCACTTCCACACTGGAATTCTTTAAGCCATTTTAGTGATATAGGAACTGCAATTACTTAGTTTGAATTTGAGTTATACTGCAAATATAAATTAAATCAAATTCACTTTTTTGCTTGATCTTTATTTTTGAAACTCCTGCATACTACTTAAGCTCAAGGGTAACCATTTGGCTCCCAAAAACTGTTCTTTAGCAGAAAAAACTCAATCATAAAATGTATATTTTCCTCAGTTTTCTATATCACAATAGTTATTGATGTTGGTAATTGTAATGATTCTGGAAGTCCTGAGATATGTATAGACTGATATATTTGGGCACAATAAGATAGTATTGTAGTAATACTAATGAAAGTAGTAATTACTAATGAAGATAGTAATGAAAATTGTCCTAGTGAAATAGTGAAAACATTCACTATATGGAAAATAATGAAAGGACAAATTTGGCTTTAGCAACACTTGAAGAATCTGTCAGCCAATGTTAAAAGAATTCAAGAAGCTGGAATATTATAGTAGCTAGTCATATGCCTGACTATATGGAATTAGATAGTCTAAGTCATACTAAGTCAACAGAGGTTTCTCCTGTAGTGGGTTTCAATTTAGTTTGCTACTGTTTGCTCGTGATGTTTCTGCGCGGCAGGTGGATGGAGCCTCCCGCCACCACGACTGGTTCACCCGATCCGGGGCGAACCGGTAGCAACCCACCACTGGATTTCTCCCAATGTGCATAGGACTGTATCCTGAGGCAATTCATACTTGTGTATTTCACTGAAACTAGCTTAGATTAAATTTGCAAAGGTTGATTGTAAGGCGGTAATAATAAACATATGAATGACTAAAACACTCAGATTTTAATGGGATTTACTAATTCATTATTTAATTTCACTTCATCTCAAACTCCTGTGATGGGAAACAAACTAAAGTTTTGTTAATGTCACCTCTTTATATGTTAGTGGACTACGAGTGGCCTAGTTTGTAGAGATACTCCAAGATTATAAATGTGATACAGGAGAAGGGGTTTGGACCGTTATATTTGTCAGTTACCTGTTTTTGTTTCTGATCTTTCTTGAGTGCTTCAAGCCTTCTTCGTTTGAGAAGTTCCAGTTCATCTTCCTCCATCTGGTCCAATTTTTGTATTTCAGCATCAAGCTGTTCTTCTACCATCTTAGCTGTCTGAAGCATCGGAGCTTCCAGGGCTTTGGAAAATACGTTAACAGAAGTATTTGCATCCATTTTCTTTTCAAGTTAGCAGCAGACTCATTAAACCTGAAAAATGAAGTAGATTTTAAGTTAGAACCAGACAGAATAGAAAAGATATTTATTACAATATCAATTGTATACATGGTGTTGTAGAAATATCAATGGAATTTGAAAGCAGATTCAGCATAGTGATATGAATATTTAATTGAAAAGCTGACTGCGGTTGATTCTTTTGTTTTAGTTAAATAATGGTCACTTGACAGAAGGATTATTGACAGCATACATTTTGTTCTGATTATTTGGTTTAACTTTAAACCTTGTGGGTGGGGGAGAGGGGGAAGAGTTGTCATAGAGCAGGGGTGTCAAACTCAAGGCCTGGGGTCTGGATCTGGCCGGCGGGGTGCTTAGATCTGGCCCACGGAGCCATCCTGGAAACAGTGAAGGACCAGCCCGCGATGCCTCTGCCAGCAAAAACGAAGCTCAGGAGGGCTGTATGTAGCCCTTCTGAGCTTCGTTTTCCATGGCAGAGGGTTGCAGGAGGCTGTTGCAGCTGAAAACAGACCCTGCAAGGGCTGCACGCGGCCTTCCGCGTATTATTGATGCTAAATTAGGCAAAAGACTTAATCAAATTAATACGCACACAAAGATGTTTCATTTATTGCATTCAAAATATTCATAATTGAATTCAGGATAAATCTCATGTATACTACAAGAAAATAGCAATTCCTAAATGTTTCTTACTCTAGAAAAGAAATTCAGCAAAGCAACATATTATAAACCCTTTTTCAGAAATATAAGGTATTCAATCATACATTAAATTACAAATATCTCTCATAGTAGGCACAATCTTAGAAAAGGTATCTTATTCTTCATAACACAAATGTCTCTGTTGAATTGATACATTTTAGCTATAATTTTCATAACCCACTTTTAACAATGAAAAATTAGAGGGGAAAACTTTACTACATCCACCTATTTTGCTTTGCACTCAGTGTCCCATCTACAATTTAACAGCAAAAGGATTTTGAGTGACCTTAGTATTTTTTTTTCAAATACGGATTTCCCCAAATAGTTGGGATGGCTGTTTTGTGAACCCTATTAAATTCTGTAAAGTATTTTCATTAAGATCAACAAGCAACGAAGCAAGATCCAAAGTTAATTGATGATATCATGCGTCATATTCTGGAAATACGATTTCAATTAAGATGATCTGAAATATCGTATGTAGAAAAAGCAATTTCTGCTAGGGAGGGTAAGGAAAATATAGTTATCCATCCAGAGCTGACACCTAAATCTAAAACCAACAGAGATGCGTCCAACTCACTCCTCGTCTACATCATCATCAGCAAGTCTTTCCAAAAGAAATACCAAGACATAAACACCGTTTATTTATATCGTTTCGAGACCCAGGCAACCAAACAGTAACGATTCGGCTCGATACTTACTAATTAGAAATCGAAAGGCCACAAAGGACCGCTCCTCAGCATAGAAGAGCCACAAAAATCTCTCCCTGAGCCTCTGTCGCCCGACCGGCCTCCCAAAGGAGCCCCCAAAGGACCCCCTACGCACCAGGAGATGGCTCAGCAAGTAAACCTGGTCACAAGTAAACCTGGTCACCTGGTCCCGCGCATGCGCCTCTATCCTCAGCGACGCATCCTGAAGACGTTTTATTGTTGACGCAGCAATTAGAGGCGGCGATCCTTTCTGCCCTTGCGTCGTGCGCATATCCTTTTCTGAATACACATGAGCGGGGTGGCTGTTCCACGGCTTTACGTTCACGTTAATTAACGACTTACGATTCAAAGTCCCGCTTGAGTGAGGGGGGTTCATAACAAAAAGCTTCCGGCAGCACATACCGTCCCGAGTCGCGCTAATTCCGTTAGCTTGTAATAAGCCACACAAAACCTTGCAAGACCCAACGCCCGGGTGCCCCCTCATCTCGGTAACGCCCGAATCCCACCTCGGGATGGCCCTCAGCGAAGGGTGGCGTATTAACGGGGCCTTTCTGCTGCTCCTGAGGAGCGAGGCGGCCAGCCCTCGGCCCCTCCGGTCGTTCAAGGGACGGACGCGCCCCAGTCCTGCGTTCAAGTTCATCTTGAATACGGGCCCAGCTCACGCGCTTGGCTGCTGTTCATCCTCCGTCCAGAGGAGGCGGTCGCCGCAGCCGGAAGCTCCTGGATAGGCGACCTGCTTTTTTTGCGTGCTGATTGCCCGCCTGCCGCGTGCCGGGGGCCAGAGGTGAGGCGCCTGCGCGTATCGTCGGCCGCTGCCGAGTGGAGTGTTCGCGTTGGCCTCTCACCATATGTGCCCTCTCGCGTGTGGAAGCGGCTGGCTGGGCCCTGAGCAAGGAGAGCGAGCGAGAGAGCCAGCCTCGGAGAGGCGGTTGCAACCATGGGCAAAAAACAGAAAAACAAGAGCGAAGACAGGTACCCAGAGCCCTGGACGTGGCCTAGGTGGGCGGGGAGCGGGAATAGTCGGTGGCTGCCGGCCCAGAGCTAGCCCTGCGTTTCTTCTTCCTCCACGCTGAGGCAGCAGGGACGCCCCTTCCTCAGTGAGGGAAAGTGAGGCAGCTCCTCTCTCACTCGGAGGACGTGACAGTTCGGGCCAGAGGCTCGCGTGTCTCCTGTCCTCGCGTGTGAAAGACTGGGACGGGGGAGGGGGCAAGAGGCCTGTCCGAATTCGTATATCTCGACCTTTGTGGGACTTTCACGGCTGGACTGCTTACTTCTGAGGACTCGTCTGGTACTTGTTTGCCTGTTCATTAACAGGCGCTGTTAGTCCTGTTTCCTTCGCAATTATTTTAGGTGTGTGAGCTTTTCTGCTCGACTCCACCGTGGGACTTCTGGGTGCAGTCGCTTTTCCAGTTAGGAGAGCTAGAGACATTTAAAGACCTTGTCAAATTCGGGGGAACCAAAGCCCTGTGCTTCCAGATATAGGCTTGGCCCTTTAGCTCAAAGCTGACGTGGGAAAGTTACTGATAAACAAGTTAAACGAGATCAAACAATTCCTCCTTAACACTACTTGTTGGAGATAATCACAATTTACTCTAGATGAAATTGTGTGAATTTTCTTATGTTGGCTATGTTAGGGAGACCTTTCTGGTCCAAATGGCCTTGGTTTCAAGTGGTATGTACAACTAAGGGGTTTTGCTGTTAGGGTTCTTGTGAAAGAGGAGGCTTTCTGCCTCACCTATCTGTACTATTGACCCCTGGCTTGCTGCATTTCTTATCAGAGTTTCCTACATTTCTTGTAATTGTTGGAACCTCCAACATTTAGAGCACAGATAAATTCCGTATTTCTGCATGATCATTAGTGATAATTAACTACTAGCCTTGAATTTTACCAGGCTTGAAATTAAATAGTGAATCCTACTAGCTCCCTAAGATAACATGGTAAGAATCGGTTATTCTAAATGTGTAGAAAGTGATGTAAATGCTGATGAAATAGCCTACTATGGTTACATATGCAAGCATTACACTTGAAACAGAAGAAGATAATACACAGGAAAATATAAGAAGAGCATATAATAGGACAAAGTCCTGTGTTTTTCAAAAACTGTTGAGTAAAGTGATGATTTGTCTCAGTCATTTTAATCCTAAAAAGAAAGTAGGACAGACAGAGATGGCCACCCATACATTTAAAAAAAATCTTGGTATGTATTTAATTGTTACTGTCAGAATCAGAAATATGCAATTACTAGAGAGCTTTGGCCTTTATAGTATCAAAGAAAACTCAGCAACACTTTTGAGAAAGATGTGATACCATTCTCCTGAAGATCAGAGAAGATGTAAAGACTATTAATACTGTCACTGTCAGTTTATATGGAAAATGTTATGCAGTTAACCATTCTAACTCTTAATTAATTTACTAAATGCTATTAAGATTTAACAGAGCAAAATAATGCCCCTGGAATCTGTTGTTAGATCATTTGACAAGAACTTCATGGAAGCCCTAATCAGATGGTTTCAGCTTTGCATGAAATGTATCAATTTGAAGGCTCATTACATTCCAGTTTATTATTTTTTTTGTTATAACTACTTAGCCTCAGTTTTCATCTAAGGAATGACTTTTTATAGAACACTTAAATTGCTCAGGTAAGACTGAGGTGAGAGCCAGTTTGGTGTAGTGGTTAAGGCACATGCTAGAAACTATGAGAACTATTCTGTCTGGAGCACCGGGGATTTTGGGTCAGTCTCAGTGACTTTAGGCCAGTCACTCTTTCAGCCTTGGAAGCAGGCAATGGCAAACCACTTTCAAAAACTTACCAAGAAAACTACAAGGACTCGTCCAGGAACTTGTCAGGAGTCAGCATTGACTTGAAGGCGCATGTATGCAGTAAACTGAGAAGATAAAGAGAATCATTATGGTTTTCTCAGATTATACCAAAGAGGTTCACCAGCACAGAGAAATACTAACTTGAACTTGAAATAGTGCTTGAGAAAAGAAATCTAAAATGATCAGATGACACTGAAAATCGTTTCATTACCATGGGGAGTCTAAAACACATCTCACCTCTAAATTCCTATTAAAAGTTGATTTTTTTGAAATTTATTGTGGATTATCTTTAATTTATATTTATTAAATTATTAAATTATATATTCATATTTATGTCCTTAACTACAGCAAAATATGGCAGCTTTTTAGCTACAGTCTTCCTTTTATTCCCTCTTCCCTCTTGTCCCTTTTTTTCCTCCTTTTTAATTTAAATCTGTCTTTATTAAGAATGGAGTTTACAGATTTTTTTTTTGAAATTTTTTTTTATTAAACAAAAACATAAGACAAAAATACTTACAAACATGTATACATAAAGACAATACAAAAAAGAGAAACTAACTAACAACTAACATTGTTTCAGCCTATCGGCTGACTTCTAGAAAACTGTTGCATCGGTTATTATTTTCTATTTCACCTCTATTTCTCTTTTAGAGATCTATTTTATGTGCTTACTTATTTTTACTTTTTTACATATCCAAGACTTAACTTTATACTCTATTTTTAAATTTTTCTCTCTATATAAGTGTCTATTACTTCTATACATCCTTCTAATAACCGTTCTAACTATTTATATATACAGTCATGTGGTCTACCTCCTATGTGATTGTGTTTCTTGGTTATGTTTTGTATAGGTATTATTTTATCAATCCTATCTTTCCCTCTAGCCAGGAATACCATCTTTGCCAGACTGCATAATAATCAGATTTTATTTTTAATATCACTTTTAAAATATTTTTCTAGGCTTGAGTTTTTAATGAAGTCCATATGGGATATATCTTTTTCTTGCTCACATTTTAATATTGATAATAATCTCATTTGTAAGATACAATGTTAAAGAACTGGGAGCTTCAATGAACTGTTGAAAAATATGAATATTGAAAGTGGTTTTATTTTTCTTAGGAGATAACATATTTTCCCTAAATATAAATCTTTTATAGGAAGATTGAGAGAAAGATATATGTAGTAATTTTTAATGCAAGAAGTGTGATTTTAAACAGATTTTCTAAACTACAGAAAGAAATGACATTTTTATTAAAGAAATATCAGGATATTTTACTGTTTATTTCAAGAAATTGTAACTATAATTGAATTTATGATGTTGGGAAAGATCTCTGGCTTTGATGAAGATGAAATTAGTACAAACACGTGTTGCTCTTTTATCTCCTGTCTTATTGGATGTATATGCTAAAGATTTTTCAGACAGACTCTTCCTAACTTTGATTTTGAAGCATTTAGGGTGGTTTTGGGGGAGTGGGGGAGGGAGAATATGTGTTGTATTTCAAAAATAGACAAGGATTTTCAGGTAGAATGGTTTATTATCTTAGAGCAAACTTCCCAGTTTATCTTCAGTCATTGTCTCATTTCACCCCATCTTACCCCCTTTTCTCTTACACTGTTGAACTTGCTTAAATATAAGGGCTTATATTAGAGTTATTCTGTGATAATTTTTAACCATGTTAGTGGAAAAAGAGTAGACGTGTAATGTGATTTTATACTTTGCAAAAACTAAAGACAATAACTAAGTGACTTTGGCTAATCTTGAGAAGCTAAGCAGTTTGGTCTTGTTAGTACTTGAAGGAAAGGTTACCTTTATTTTAACCTGCGGATATCCAATTTTACTAAGCTGAAAACTTCTTGGCTAGATTTTTCTTTGTTTGTATAAATATAAATGGTGCCCCAGAGGTAAAATTGTAATCCTGAAGTATATTGTACTAGATTTGGACCTCTTGAATAGAACTGCAACACTGAAATATAGTATATCGCAGAAGTGAGTACACCCCCTCACATTTTGTAAATATTTAAGTATATCTTTTCATGTGACAATATTGAAGAAATGACACTTGGCTACAATGCAAAGTAGGGAGTATACAGCTTGTATAACAGTGTAAATGTGCTGTGCCCTCAAAATAATGCAACACACAGCCATTAATGTCTAAATTGGTGGCAACAAAAACGAGTACACCCCTAAGTGATAATGTCCAAATGGGGCCCAAGTAACCGTTTTCCCTCCTGGTGTTATGTGACTCATTAGTGATACTCGTCAGGTGTGAAGAAGCAGGTGTGTTAAATTTGGTGTTATCGCTCTCATACTGGTCACTGGAAATTCAAAATGGCATTTCATGGCAATGAACTCTC